AAAGTAGCGAATGTCAAGCACATTATATCGGTACAACAACGAGAATCTGCCATGTTAAATGGAAAGACTTACACAAATATATACTAGATCTTTATGGGACTATGATTTTTGGAAAATGTGCATCCTGTGGTTGCCCTGCGAAAAATCATAGAATAATCTATTATAATAGCATAACTGAATATTCAGAAAAGATTGATGAAAATATAGAACATGAACTATCAGAAAACAAAATAGAGCAAATTTACAAGCAAGATCATATAAAAATGCTCCAAGAAAAGATCGACCAACTCAAAGAACAACAGGATAAAGTCAATAAAATTATAGTCAAGTTTACGCAATTTCTAATGCAAAATGCAATAGCTGCTTTCAATGATGCATATGTGTAATATCTTGATTATATTATACACCTTGAAAGAGAGAAAGCTAATTCTTCCGAAAATCACGACAATAATATTCTTGAAGCGCTAGAAGAAATAAAAAGAAAATATGACGAAGAGGTGAAAGTTATTAAAGAGATGATTGAAAATAATGAGCCCTCTTCGTGCTCGCTTTCTTCTGAGGACATACTGGAACTTGAACAACAGTTATACGGCTTACCAAATGTCGGTAAACATTTACAAGCTATAAAAGAAGAAAAGAAAAAAGCATTCAAGTATCGAGAAAGACGTCACAAACTCACTAACATGCTGAATTTCTTAACAAAAATTTTTACAACTTCAAATATATGGAATTGTAGTTGAATAAAACCTATTCGTATGATCGTATTATTATATTACTGAGAGTTATTTAGGATCTAACTAGTAGAAATTCCAATTGACATTAGTTACAGTATGTATGTCGCTTTCAATCAAAATCAAAATTATAGTTATTGTTATTTATTTATTTATTTTCTTTACAATATGTCTTCATTAGCATTTCATTTTTTCACCTTATACCTTTGAAAAATTATATAAATAATCAAAAAAAATAAAAATAAAAAATAAAAAATAAAAAAAATAAAAAAATAAAAAATAAAGAACATATAATAAATTATTTAAAATACAGTATGATTGTTTTAAAAAACCATCAAGTAATTAAGTTTTAAATATTCGGTTTATACCAGGAACGAACGTGTGGTTTATACGGGATTTCAAGCGGTTTTCCCGTCCACAAAACCTTATATCTGATTGGTTTGCATGACTCTATTCATCACAAATTGTCTTATTTTTTAGCAATTCTTGAATGTGTGCCAGGTTGGTGGCGAATTAATCAGTTCAAATAATTTGCGTTAATTAAAAAATTCTAATGATAACAATAATAAAATTATAAATTTTGTTATTTTCAAAAACACGTTTCCCTTCATTTCTTTCATAATCTTTAGCTTCTAATATTATTGTTTTAAATTCAAAAAAATACTCGTATTCTTTACTTTTATAATGTTTATAAATTATAATTTTCGAAATTTTTGCAGACCAGAACGTCAAAGTTCTTAATATAATACGCGTATAAGAAAAATATTGGCTTTAAAAGTATGATAATAAATCTCAAATAAACACGTCTTATATAATTTATAAAAAAAATTTCCTATAATGAAAAAAACTTTTCTCATAATCAACACTGAATCGTATCTTAAAAGATAGAATAATTGTAGTGTTCCTTAATGTTAAAGACGTTTCATTTTTAAACCTAAATTTTATAAGTTTTGTTAACCTTACATACTTCGGAAATTTCTGTAATGTACTCTACTTACATATTAAGTACAGTCAACTCCCTTTATAATGGTACCTTTTTATAATGAACGAATTAAAAATTTTAAAAATTATATTATTTCTGTTATGTCTTCAATTCATAAAATAAAAATAGAAAATATTCAAAGCACAGGACTGTTGATGAAACGCATGGTTGAAGTTTTCGTTGAAAAATAATTTTACGAATGCACATACTGAAATAAAAGAGATTATTGTGGCTGGGTAATGCGCCACCAACCTGGCACACATTCAAGAATTGCTTGATTACGATATAATTACGTATTTTTATGACATATTTTATGATGATTTTTAAAAATAAACTTTATGCATTAGGTAACTACGTAATTTTTTGACATAAAACATCGTAAATAAATATAAGCTTTAAAAGTCCTTAAACCAAGAATCAGGTATCCAGACGTTGATCCTAATTTATGCTCAATTCTGGTTATTGAACCTAAAATTTAGGTCAGGGTGAAGCGGGAACCGGACATTTCCGAAAATTTCGTAGAGTATGAGTTGAAAGGCTTTCACCTCGGTTCCCTCAGCTCCAGCCAATTATTAAAAATTCAGGAACAACTGATAAAAATTTAACCGATAATCATTCAGTAAGTTTTTGATTTTCTATTGTTTCATATACGATATGTTACTGTAATGGATGGACGTTATAGATTCTCATATTATAGGTGAATAAAAATATAAAGAACTCACAAAAAAGAGAGCATTCTCATGACCTTAACGAGTATATATTAAAATATTTTTAAAAAAATTATATCCAGAATATGGCAATATTATTTATTATCTGTTCGTAACCCATATATATAAAACTTTATATAAACCTTATCCTATCTCCCATTAAAGCAATATTCGTTTTTCTATTGTATAAATAAGATAAATTATTTATAAATCTAGTTATTATTGGAACTAAACCTATATATTTGAGAATTCTTGTCAGTCTGCAGATTTTATTTAAAAAAAAAAAAAAATTCAGAATAAATTGATAAATGTGTTTTTCTAAAAATATTTTCAATACGTACAAAATCGCGTGAGAATTCAATCTTACTATTCTTGGTTAATACTCAACGGGCATGCTTTCCAAATTTTTACGTGTTTCATATTTGACCAGTAATAGTAATAATGAAATATGCATTGTTTATATCTAATAACACCGAATTCAAAAACTTATTGAATTCGACCGAATTACTATAGTCCCAGAATTTATGAGAATAGCTATAACTTTTACAGAAACCTGTAAAAAATTGATAATGGGTTTAAAACTAGCAAATAATATTTTTAAAACATGTTTAAAATATTTTTTTAGATAATGGGTCTACAATGGGTTTATAACTAGTAATCATTACATAATTATAACATTTTTTTTAAAAAACATAGTTACAACATTATAATTATATACTAGTTAATAACTAGTTGTTAACTATATAGTAATTATAATGTTGTGATTATGTTTTTTCAAAAACATAATCACAATATTATAATAACTAGTTATTAACTAGTAATTATAATATTGTAATTATGTTTTTTAAAAAAAAATGTTATAATTATGTATGATTACTAGTTATAAACTCATTGTAGGCTCATTATCTAAAAAAATATTTTAACCATGTTTTAAAAACATTATTTGCTAGTTTTAAACCCATTATCAAATTTTTGCAAGTTTTTGTAAAGAACTCATAGGAAGACTTTCGTATGATTGGCTGTTTAAATCAATTTAATTTTACATTATTTATACAGTTTAAAGTACTTTT